AGACTTAAGATTGTCTCTTTGGAGGATCCTACTCACAAATTTTTTACTTCGTAACCTATCGACACTCGCTTTGCCTTCCGTTGTACAGGAAGTCTAATGTATCATCGAACTTGAAAGTATTGATATCCCCAGTAAATAATCGTGGTACACTTTATTTAAAGCCTTGTTGCAGCCTATGAATATAACGCCTATGAACACTTATCACAGACCACCACCACCTTCTCGCACAGTACTGTTCAACAAGTGTTTAGCAGGAAAATCATGTGGTGCCAAATTATTTAATTCAATATAGTAAAAACTTTTTGGGAAGACCTTATGGTTATACAAGTTAGATAGTAGTTTGTTACCATTTGGCGAATACTCACTTTAAAAAATGTGTTGATTATCGTATCCTTCTGGTTTTCCGGTAAGCAAGTTTCAAACAAGGAATTGCTTAATGGCTAAGTTCCAGACTTCGCAGCATTATCCGCTGGCAAAGATTGAGTCGCATACTGTCGAAACAAGCAAATTCCCCAGATTCAGGCTTTCCAAGTAAGCTGAAAGAGCAGCTCCTTTGTTATTTACACCACCTATTTGCTGAGCGTTTCTGGCGTAATTTCTGGTTACATCGCTATCTCTATACGTGTATATGACTTCAGTTCCAACTCCGCCAGGCCATATAGTCCTCCACTTGTAACCGCAAGCAGTGGTCAATCATTTCTGTAGTCCTGTTGGTGATTGAGAACAACCTTTCGCGACATTTTTAGCAGTCGCCTATAAACTGTCTTTCTTAAACTACTCGAAATCTAGCAGTTGCAGTTTTGCATGTATTTAAATTGTTAAAATCCTATTCCTAAGACAAATCTCAAACGTTTCCACTCTAGTGGTACTTTCCGACTGTGGTAGTCGGGCCTGCATATCACACTGACCCAACGAGCTCCACTGACTGGAGCGCTTGTTCCTTTGAGGTCCTACCATGCCAAGAACGTCTGTTAGGTAGTGGTAAGACGAAAAGTAACTACCGTTGCAGTGTAAATCACACTGTGATGTGGATCTAGGGGCAAAGTCGTACTGCTGCTTGCTGAATGGTATGTGACAGCATTAAGGTGTTTCCCTTGGATGATAAACAGTGCCACGCTGATGCTGCCTTCCCAATGGGAACGGGGTAACAAAAGATCGGCCCTCCAAAATAATACACTTCACCGCCTAGCGGCATACCAATGCTTGCATCAAGGATTCAAGGTCGGATTCAAAGCGAAGTGCCGAAATCTCAAAATTGCCAAAACGCCGTGTGTAATCGGCCTCAAGCAAGATGTCGCATGGGCTCTGCGGTCATCAATCTTTTTCTCTTTCAGATACCTTAAAAGGAAATAGCCCTCCACGATGTAGGGAGCCGGAAAATGTCAAACGCCCACACTCCCCCAATAGTACACAATGGCAGTGTCCCACTGAAAAGGGTACGAGTGAGTACATCACCTTGTTGAAGACTCTTTACTCGAACAGCTATGATCGTGAGATATCGAGTCGTATAAGTTGACTGGTGTCCGTTAAGGATGGCCGCTACCTCCATTCTTATTCAATTCTATCATAGACTTTCTTATGGATGTCTCCCTCTCGTCATTTGACTACGCAGGGACTGACTTTTCAGGAAACCTAGAACACGCAGACGGCAGTCCTATTTGGTGATAACGGTGACAAGATGCAAAGTCTTCTGGACACGTTGAGTGGGAATTCGAGAATATTTGAGATGGATTTCCCGTTACGCAAGTGCAAGTTGTTGCTCCAGGACTGGTCTTCAATGATACTAACAATAGAGAGTGAAATGTTTGAGTGCGTTGAACACTTCACTCACCTGTGTAGACTACGTGGTTGGGGTCCTCGGAACGAAAGGAATCAGAGGTTAAGGACTGTTGGAGACATATCTTGAAATCGGTCACAATGGCGCAGATGTATTCACTCCTTGACTTCTGAAACTTGAGTATTTGCTCTAACCTTTATCTTCAGATAGTTTATTCTCTCACACTGCTTTATATACTATCTACTACTTTTCTGTCCACCTGTCTACTTTGATATCACTCCTTTTTGTCCACATGTTCTTTATGTACTACTGTAAAGTGTAGCAACTTAAACCGGCGCACCTGTGTGCTAGGTTCTACGTTGATTTTATCTGTCTGTTTATTGCAGTCTCTTTGGAATTCAGGTTTCACAACTGGTGTGCTAGCCATTTCCGTTTGCGTTAGTTACACTTTTTAATTAGTGTAACAATGTCCATGTGCAAATGTGCTGATTCATCATCAGTTTATACTTTACTATCTTGCCAAATGTTTGGTTGTGCTAGCTACATCATCCTCTGGGTCCATATTTGTGTTTGGAAAAGTTCAAACGAAAATGAGTTAAAACGGAAGCAGGAGAAGCTTTGATTCAGTGGATAAAACAAATACAAGTTACTTTAGAGAGTAAAACTGTTCATTTTCCAAAATGTTAGAAAAACCCTCGAGATGTAAAATGATAGTGAAACTCGAACCTGAACCGAATCACTTCAAGTTGCAGTTTACAAGAAAGCTTTTTGTGTAGTGGACACAACGAATTTAAGTCTGCAAAAAGTTATTCCTTTTTCAGAAGTGTTCTAACATCACACCTTTTTGGTTATCAATTTTTGCAACAAATGAAAAAGCACTGCGAGTGTGTTAAACGGTATTAGGGAAGTTCCTGTTATAGCTTGTAAATCTCGGTCATTGGTTTGACCGAATTGATTGACCACTGCTGTGCAGTATCAGTGAAGCAAATAAATAACTATGAGTCGATACCGTGTTTGGTTGGAGCTTGAACAGGAAAAACGTAATCATGTGTATCATTGTGATTACCTAGAGGATGACTGACTTGAATGTCACATTTACCGATGTCTGACTGTACATAGTGAAATGGGTCATTATCTAGTGCATCTATTTGTATTACTTATTACACCGCTTTAATATTATCAATTCGTTTCACTTTCGATTCTCAATTTTGGATTTCCATTGTTTTATGAGTATTTGTACTCATATGCTCTCCAACTTTCAATCAAGCTCCTGTTTCTTTTCAGTAAGTCTCCAATTCCTATTAGCTTGTGTAGTTGCATCACGAAACCCCTTGATTTTACCTAGATCTGGTCAGTATCAGCATAGGAAGTAGTAGTACAGCGTAACAATGACCGTACATCAATACGCTGGGTAACAACTTCAAAATGTAGTAAGAATTGCAGAGAACGATAAAAACAAGACGCTAAATGAAAGCAAAGCAAGATTTGACACGAATGTAGTGTATGCATACATCTTCACCACTGCGATCATTTTCAAACCACATTGCAATATCCTGTTGGATTTGATTGTCATGACACTCTGCATTTCCATAAACGACCAAAGCCAACAGTTAAAACTAATTGACTGATACTAAATTTCAGTCAAACCACCTTATTTAGCATTGGGATCAACGGAGGCTGAGCATATGCATCTTAAGTCCAAGCTGAAAAAAATAAGCAACTTTTTAAATTGATTGACTTTCCCTAGGAATACATCGCTCACATGGTCCTACCAAAAAACATCATAGTGCACTCAGTAATCATGTGCACCTTTGTACAATGACCGAGATCTATTGTATCAAGGCTAATAATAGTTACTCAAACGTCCATGTGTGCAGTCAAGTTGGAAACCTTAACTCGTTAAAGTCGGGCGTCTAGACCAAATAACCACAGCTGTGCCAATCATGGGAGGTGCTACAAAAATTATTTTATTGTAAACTACTGCACAGCATATTTCGATTGAAATCGAAAATCGGATGACTTACCAGCACCACAAGTGGCGTCAGTTAGCTGAAACTAGTCTATCTTTATGTAACCATTCTGAGGCTTCACAGGTCCAACTACGTGAGGTGTTCGATGTGCCGAACTATTTTGCTCTGAAATATCATGCGTTATCGACATAAACCAGTTCTAAGAGAAAGAATTTTGATCCAGGATGAGGGATGCATCGCGAACATTCTGTGTCCGAAAAAGTGTATTCTGTTAGCGTATACACTTAACAACACTGGATTGCATGAGTAATCTAGACCCACGTAAGATGTTTCAAATAAATTGTCCAGTTGATATTTTTAAAAATTATGATGCACGTTTGCTTTCCCGGGGATCCACTGGTATTGATCATCAGCCGGTATGTCATTGTGCTGACATTAAAGTTGCTGGATCATTAACATTTTTCGCATCAGTTTAAATAAGAAGTAGCTGGCAAAAGTGGGGGTATTTGTTTATTTTAACTGGTACTCAAAAGGACTGTAGCCTGGATCCAGCTAAGGATGAGACCTACCATCATTCAGACTACTTCAACCGAGTGTACTTGACAGGTATCGTAGTGCTAACTTGGGAACCGAATGCACAGAATGGGTATCTACGCTCGGAGCAAACTGGTCAAATTGACTAGTGGGGATTAGTCGGTTGCAGGTTGGCTAACACGAATCGTTTAATGCAGCTCTTCACGAAGTAAGACCTATATCTAGTCATTGCAAACCCTCCGCACATCTTGAAAATAAATCATCGTTTATAATTATATCACGGTGGAGTCATTAATTCATTATAATTTCACTTTGAAGAAAATTGTATCGTGGTCAGCAACATACTTGCTTTCCTATATCCTCTACTATTTCACTCTGTGGATCTTTTGCCTTTCCTACTATTTGCATATGGAGCCTACTGAATCCTTGTCAGAAGCTATGCAGTGATTAGATCAGGGAAGGTACATTCTTCAGAGAGATTGGAATCAGTTTTTTAAGTTACCTCAAGAGTTCATGAAATGATACTTCTGCCTCAAAGATTTTTATTTCAGAAATTTTGACATCTGGGTATTCACAACATCCATTGGGTAAACTTGTCATATTCAATCTGTTATGTTTATGCGCTTTTAATTACAGTTCGGCAACCTACATGTTTATCACTAAGTACCTTTCTACTGTTTTGCCAACAGCTCTTAAACATTTTCGATCTGAACTAAAAGATGGATACAGATTTATACGATGAGTTTGGAAACTATATTGGACCGGATCTTTTATCAGATGAGGAAGTGGAGGACGATGCGGATAGTGGTGATTTTAATGAAGATGTAGAGCATAATGCTGAAAATTACAGTGAAATGAATGGTGATGCACATGAGGAAAGTTTAGCTGTAAGTTTGCAACGTTTACACCGAAAAGTAATAATTATCGACATACTCGTTCATATATATATCCAATATTTAGTATCTCGACTGGCAAATACTTTAGTGTGATGGTCAGGTTTGGATATCTGCATGACGCAATGATGTATCAGCTCAAATAATTCTGTTCAAGCATCTTGTGTCAGGTAGAACTGCTGAAAAACGGTAAATTGGAAATCAGCTACTTTCATATTGTATTAATGTACACAATTGTGGCGGGTTCGAGGACGAAGTAGTATACTAGTCAAGTGTGTTTTGCACATAGCCTCCATACAGAGATGATTCTACACTCTTAGTCTTAAGAATAGAGATTAAGGAGGGTCAATCCTAAAAGCTGTACATTGTCGTGCCTAGTTACTTTGTCGGCAATGTCTTTTCTTCTAGGTACAGATATATAGAAATTGACTGTCTGCTGACTGCCTGCATCAGACCGATCTAAAGTTGACATTCTGTGTTTCATGTATCGTGGTCAATATGTGCATCACTCAGCATCCACTATTTAAGTATCCAGGGTGTAAACTTCCTCACTTTGACCAGTAAGGAAGTGCCAACTACTTTCAGACTTCCATCAGCGCTGGGTTTTATTTTCAATACCATTGACTTTCCTAGGTTAATTCTTACTTTTCTGTTGATAATTCTATGTCAACGTTACTTTCTATCTCTTAGCTCACGATGAAACTCCCGCGGTTTTTTAAAACTGCAATGTAAACTACACATCGGAGCTTTCAGTGTTCGCACTCAAACTGAATAACAAACTTTGCTAACAAATTCTGGGCTTATATAGTATATATGGTAACTAAGACCAATCTTTTGAGCATGCAGCTCTGATTGTCACAGTGTCTGTGCATTGCCATCTTAGTCGGTGTACTAGGTGTGTATCACAACATAACACTACCCATTCAATTGTTCCTAAGCATTTCTTTGGTTTCAGGTCGTTCTTCATGAAGACAAGAAGTATTATCCGAGTGCATTAGAAGTTTATGGTCCTGAAGTTGAAACTTTAGTGCAAGAAGAGGACGCTCAGCCATTAACACAACCACTAATAGAACCTGTTCGACGCAAAAAGTTTGCTTACACTGAAATATCAATCCCAGCAACAACTTATGACCCAGAATTTTTAGCTGATCTTATGGACTGTCCGGAACTGATTCGAAATGTTGTTCTTTGTGGACACCTGCATCATGGCAAGGTATGTTTTCAAAATTCGATATGCTTTGATCTTCTGTAGACTTCATTTGTGGATTGTTTGATGGAATTGACGCATCGTGACATTGAGGCAAAAGAAGACAAAGATGTAAGCATTTTATGAAGTCTGTGTTTCTAGTCTGTAAATTCTGTAAGGTTACTAACAAACTGAACATTCACTGGGTTTAAAAACATGAAAACACTTGGATATTTTACCAAAGATACTGATTTAAAAATCGAAAGTAAACAATTTACCATAGCACCTTCATGATATAAGAAATAGTTACCAACGCTTTCAATATGATAAGGCAGTATAAGATGTTGATGATCGTTAGATAATTACTGTTTGAGAATGGATTAGATGCAGTTGTGCATGTTTGTTGGAGTTGTATTGCCCTCTATGTATAGTCCAAACTGTTCATTTCTCAAATACTAATAATCAAAACATAACTAAAATGGGTTCCGTGGGAAAAATATAGCTTCTTGATGAAATTACCAACCTTCTATCTCTTGACCTTCCGAGTTTTATTTATATTTCCCTGCTGATAATTCTATGTAAACGTTACTTATCTCTCCAGCTCCCGAGGAAATTTGAAGTTCGCATACTAACTTCTATGGTTTCCGAAAACTTCAGTTTAGACTACATATCGGAGCTTTCAGTGTTCACACTGAATCGAACTGAGCAACAAACCTTGCTAACGAAAATTCTGGGCTTATGCTGTGTTTACTGACTTGACTTCACCATTCCAGCTAAACGAATCTCCGAAATTCACACTCATTATCTGGAGTTTGCTTGGTTAGTTCTCACGGTCTTGCAGGTAAAGCTATTCTATTCTGTGTCTACCTAGAGCAGGTAGCGTACGGCTCGACTTGATCTCAGTTGATAGTCACCTTTCTGCTGTTCTACTAGACGGCACAGAGTGGGCTATGAAGAGTAGTGTCATCAGATGCTTTGCTTGATTTCCTACATACCCTCATCAAACAATTTGTTGAAGGTGAAATGTGATTTTGCCTCTTACTAAAAGCAGAACGTAGTGATTTGCTCATTATAGCGGACGATACATGGGCATATTTAAGAAGAGTTATTCAGGCAGAGAGATGCTTCGTTAGTAACTTCGAAATTCTAGTCGGACGATTGGATGATGGCGATTGCATGCTACAGAATGAATTTAAAACATGGTTTTCATCAAACCCAACTTAACGAGTTCTCATGAGTTCTGTCTGTTTCACTCCCTATATAATCAACCACACTTTTACTCTTTCAAAAAACTTCATTGAAGCACAAAGACCTCGCCGCGTCCACTGCGTGAAAAAATTGGAATTCACCTCTTAGATGAGTTTTGCAGACGCTTTTCAAAGTTTGTTTATTGTCTTAGCAATAATGTTATATGTACTGCTGCTGTCAGACTAATCCGCGATAATTAACTCAGTAACACAGTTTTTTCCCAAAGATGGATACAATACAGTTTCCCTTTTAGATAAATCAAAACACTCACGATGTCGTTTCGTCTCGAAAAATTTATTTGGTTTCTGGACTACATTCTCCTTAACCCTCCAAAAACATTGGGGTTAGTTTGTAGAAATCCAGTGGTGTGTGATTTTTTAGTACTTCAGGGTTCCTTTCGTTCTCCGACTGATTTGGCCAATCAGTGTCAGCCATCCTTGGAGTGAAATGCGTTAGTGTCAGTGTCACTGGTCCGATGAGCCAGTTAAGCTGCATTTTAAAGTGCTCCGCTCAGCGTTATGGATGTCTATGTGGACTGTTGATCGGCATACCTTCCCACAGTAGTCTTATCACTGGTGGCGGGAGTAAGCTAAAACAACGGACCATCGACGCATCTGCTGTCTACGTCACCTTATATTCTGCGCAATGAGCGTTGCGTCTCTGAATTCGTTGTAAGCATTCGCGTAAGAAACACAACTGCACTACTAGCTGCTTAACAGAATGAACAAACAAGGATCGACTTTCAAGGTCACAGAGATCCAATGTTTATTAGGGTGATATTCTTAGGATCCACAGGGAGTTCCTCATGCTATTTCTGTCTGTTTATACTTTCTGAATGTGCAAATAGTGTTAAATGTAGCTTAGTTTGATATGTGGCTTCGTCACTAGGTTCAATCAATTTGCTACTTTGACCTATTTAGGTTTTGATGATCACTAGAGTACAAGATTAGCTTGGAACATACAAGAAGATGGCAAGAGTCTAGATAAGAAATCCAGAAGGAGTACAGTCCTGTATGTACCCATGCCGTTGATAACTAACTGCGACACAATCTAATTGAGTTCAGATGTAAGTAACAGAGGCAGAACACTAGGTAACAAAACGATGATGATTGTGCCGAAAGTTTGTACTGACTGCATATGCGTTTTACTTCGTGAAGAGCTGCATTAAACGATTCGTGTTAGCCAACCTGCAACCGACTAATCCCCACTAGTCAATTTGACCAGTTTGCTCCGAGCGTAGATACCCATTCTGTGCATTCGGTTCCCAAGTTAGCACTACGATACCTGTCAAGTACACTCGGTTGAAGTAGTCTGAATGATGGTAGGTCTCATCCTTAGCTGGATCCAGGCTACAGACATTCAGAGTGTCAGACGATTATTTGTACCTGAACTATTCCGCTTGGATTTTCGCTCCGCATATATGCACATGGCTTTCTTTACTAATGAATATTCTATTTATATCTGTTGGGATAATATATACTAGACTGTTTAGTACAGTGTGTTTGTGCTGGTACAACTAAGTGGAATGCCATTTGAACCGCGTTCTGGATGCTTTCAAGTAGATCGCCGTTATCATATGTAAGCAATAGTAATGTCCTACAACTTAATTTAAATTCAATAATTTGAATTGCATCTTCTGCTACTTGTAGACGGTTTTGTCCCGGTTTATTAGTGAAATATTTGCATAACATTTTAAAACGATTTTCTGATTATATTTTTCAGCTTAGGTACACTGATTTCCTGCTTATGGAAGTGGAAAGGGGACTTAGCATAAAATCCACTCCTGTTTCTCTGGTACTTCGCAACATGCAAGAAAAGTCATACTTGTTTAACATTCTGGATACACCAGGTTGGTTTAGGTATTTTTCCTTTTCATTATCTACTACCGATCTTCGTAAAGTCAAGGAGTGAATAAATTATCATATGTGCTGCGTGTTTAAATAGATTCTGTCGTTTCTAAATGACGAAACTTCTGTTATGCACGCATGCTGTAAAATAGCATATATCCATGATCAGTTTAGGTTGGCGGCGCTTATTATTCAATTTACTGAAGGGTAAGGATATTAATAGCTTCGATATGTACGTTGAAGTTAAGTCTCAAAGGGTTGTTATTTTTTGAACTGTTATACTTCAGGGTTAGGTGATGTGGATGTAGAATTATCTTTGAAGAATTGGTTGGTATAATAAAACCATTGATTTAACTTTAGAGATTCAGAGTAGGAAGTGTAGAAAGTACATATATTTTAAGAACATCAGTCGAGATGGCTAACGTATCTGTTACACTTAAGAGTCATGTATCATTTTTTGGAGTAAAAGAAAAAAATAACAATCACAGCAAGATATGACATACATACAGGAAGTACTATTAGGTTTATCATTAGTTCTGACTGCATTGTACCGCTGGAAAATTTGAGAAAACCTGTTGTGAAGCAAGATGAAACTCTTGTAGGATTGTAAACATTTAAAGACTCCCATAACATCAATTAGAAGCAATGTGAACGTAGAATATTCTCTCCAATAAATTTTCATCAAGTTCTAAAATTTTAAGATGAAATTGTACTGCACGAACAAGCCAAGATTGCGGCGAATACATTTTCAAAATGGAATGTTAGACTAACGAAATGGATTTTCTTTCTTTTAATTTTTTCAATATTAAAATGATTTAATGTGAATCTTTTCTGGTTTAGGGAATCCTACAGATTATATGCTGTGAAGTAAAACATTCCCAGTGATTTCTCTGTCCCTAAAGACAGATGTATAGTCGTCGACAATGTGCTTTTTTCCGATTTCCTCTACTATTTCGCTTTTTGGGTTAGTTCTCTTTCCTACTGTCTGAGTCTACTGAATCCTTGTCGCGAAAGACGCAGTTTGTAAAGAGATCTTTGTTTACTTTTAATAGAACTATCGTAATCCTAATGCATAAGAATGTCATGAAGGTTCTGTTTAGTTGTACAAAATCTGCTTGTAATTATAGGTCATGTCAACTTTTCCGATGAAGTAACTGCTGCCTTTCGACTTGCTGATGGAATTTGTTTGTTGGTGGATGTCAGCGAAGGTGTACTACTGAACACTGAGCGTATCCTAAAGCATGCTTTACAAGAGCGACTACCAGTAACTCTATGCATCAATAAGATAGATCGTCTCATAATCGAATTAAAATTACCGCCAATGGATGCCTATTACAAGATAAAGCATATCATTGACGAAGTGAATTCAATACTTTTAACTTACTCTGAGGGTGCAGGTAAGCATTTGTTATGTTTGTCTGGTTGCTCATATGTATCAGTATTATGTCACAAAACTAGGTATCGTTTTTGACTACGTGGGAAAATTGTTTGCGCAATTAACCTAGACATTGTCTCAGTGAACCTGTTTCTTCTGAGTAACAATTTCAGCGAACCACTTCAAATCTCCGTCTACTCTGTGATTAATGATTTACAAAAAGTGTTAATAATTTACTACATTCTTCCCTATGGATAATCTGGTGAGAGTGACCTGCATCTTTTGATTCACAAAAAGCGAAAAGAATATACACATTTACGGTGCATTCAGTCGTGTTATTTTTCCTGAAAATCATCAAAGCTCATCGAACTAGTTGTTATTTCTCGCCAATTTGGTTGCCGCTTTGACCTACTCCACACTTGAGTTTTTTGCAGCCTGGTACACCCCCTCATTACAATAAATGTGTTTTTTGTACTCTTACTTTCTCAGTAATCATTTTAACCTTTTTTAGTAGGTGTACTTAAAAGTTAGTAAAACTACCTAAAACCTTGGTAGATATACCTGGTATTTGGCCCTGTAAGAAATTTGATTATCGAAACCGACTAATTCTCTGCATGTATGCAAAGAATGAAATATTAGGAAAGAATTCATTTAACTCTTCCTTCATCAACAAACACGTAGTCTATACTTTATGTTGAGCAGCCAAAAATCCCCTATTTGCCTTCTTTTTATCAAGTTCGTTACAGGTACTACCGATCAGATTGACAATTTCCTGTCAAAAATTTATGGTTACCAGCACTGAGTAGTTAGTGATCATTTTCACTTGTCGCTGCTAAATTTCTTGAAAGTAATGTTGCGTGCAGCTTGCTGTGTCTGTTCTAAAGTAATAATAAATTTCAGTTTTTATTCTTTTATCTCTACCAGTTGACTTACCATTGTTTTTAAACAAGTAAACTAAAAAATGAGTTCTACTGAGAACTATCTAACCTACCACAGGCGACTGAAATGAACGAGTGGGTGATTAACCTCAACCAGAGATATACTTAGGTGGTACTTTCATGATTCCAACCGAAAAAAACAGTGCTAATCACCTGCTGCAACTGTACTCACACAACCACCTATTTCTCTACAACACTTCAATCAATCATTAAGAGAGTCACAGTTTGGTCTAATAGTCAACGATGGATACAAATACACCATATCGCTATTGGTTATCATTGGAAATTGTCAAGTGGTAATTGCCGCTCTTACTGCAATATATGCTTCAACACTTATGTTTACACTTTAATGGATCACAACTTGACTTTCTCTGGAAGATCGTTTCTGGTTCATTTCAAAGGTGATGTTGAAGCAACTTTGAAGGAAAAACTGACTAGAAATTTGTTAAAATATTGTATTATTAGTTATTTTAAAGAAACCTGTCTGCTTCTAGTTTGTTGTAAAATAGCAGTAAAGACCTCACTGTTCTCTACAAAAAGGCAAAAGGAACCAATGAGTTTCACAACTTCATTTAAATCGATGATCAAATTCCTGGGGGTTCGAGTATACTGAATGGTGAAAAGAGCTCAAATGTAGACTGAGGGGTTTTCACAACGACCTTCAGTAAGTGTAGGCAGCAAAGGCTGAACAGATAGAAAGGGCAGTGGTGATAGGCGACAAAGTATATGGTTATGTAGGAATTTGGGTTAAAAATATTTGTGGCTATTGAGACTATGGCGGAGGAAGATGAGTGCGTCATTCACTTGTATGAGCGATGACTGAAACAAGAGACAGAGCACTTTGACGAAACGTTCGAGTGACCCTCATCTACTCCGGTTACAACTAATGTGAGCCTGTGCTACATGGTATCAACTGTTTCAGGAGGTTATTACTTATCTAAAACGAGGATGCAAAACTGACTTGCACTATGTTAGCCGATCAGACTGAAATGTGGAGATCAGTCAGTCAATTCTGAATGTAGGTCTGGGCTGCTGAAATTGTAGCCTTCAGGGTTGTGTCCAGGAAGCAGAGATAATTAATGGTTGCATGATATAAATAAAATGACTGTCCCTCACATGAGCAAAAATGAATTTGTAAGTTGCCTTTATAATAAGTTTCGTCACGTTTTCGTATTTGCTTTGAAATCTCCACTCTCATATATGTGACTATTCATGTCTTCGGTTGTAGTGCAGTAATCTTGGGTCCCATGTTGTTATTGACCAACCTAAAAACTCAAACACGAAACCTGTCTACTCATCAAAGTGGAGCCCCTACGTTGAAGCGCTAACACAATGTATGTGACATCTAAAGCTTCGTGTATGTTTATTCTGGCTTATTACACAATCTTTGAGTAATTGTCTCAGTTATTCTGAGACTCCTGTGTTCCATCTTCCTTCATATCTCTTCGTCATGCACTCATCTAGTCATTTTTAGTGCGATCGGTAGTCAATGTATCAGGGGTTGCTATTATATGTTTGCACTCTCAAACAACAAATTTCAGATCTCATGTTTTATTCTGTTTTGGTTTATCAAAAAACAAAATTAGCGGCAATACGATGATAGACTTATTATTCACGGACGTAGTGGCTAGCTCCAATTCTTTCCACGACAAAGTTTTATTTTGTTGTGTTTGCTAATCTAAAATTAACACTTACGGTCGATTTACTTTCCTCAAATATTTGATGCACTGATCTGTTCTGAAGTTTTCGAAGGTTTTTTTGACTCGCTGAAGAATGTAGATAATAACACTGCAAACTATGGACGAACTTATATATATATATATATATATATATATATTTTTTTTTTTGTAGGTATTGTAAATGACACTCAACCCGTTGTTAGTCCGTTACTGGGTAATGTGTGTTTTGCAAGTACTTACTACCGCTTTTGCTTCACTTTGGAATCATTTGCCAAAATATATATGGATACATTTGCTAGTGGGATGGATTACAAAGAATTCGCTGAACGTTTATGGGGTGATATCTATTTTAATCCTAAAACGTAAGATAGGATGTTGATTTTTCGCTCACTTATTCATTAGAGTTTTTCCACATTCTGCTCCAGGTTTTTGCTGTCACTTTTCTGAAGGTGCATTTAACTATGATCTCATCCGGATGCTTGAGATGATTGCATTCAGCGTCCTGATTTTATTCGTCGTTCCGATCAGTTTCCCGGTTGACGTAAGTTAGGTAGTGAATCCAACAAATACTTCTAAGTAGTCATGGTTGTTTCTCATCAGTGACATTTCTAAATCAAAAATTACCAGTACACAGCAGTAAATCTGGTCTCCAATCACTTTTAAGCATAAGGGATTCCTAATTCTACCAAACTAGTAGCATCATCTGCAGCTTCTAGATTTATTGATAGATCGGTTTCCAAGCCTCACTTCTAGATACTAGTGTATGTTTGCAATTTGTAACATAATCGAACCATGCTGGTAAGCAAGCAATGAACTTGTTGAAAGTTAGACAAAGGGAACCAGGAGACTAGTTTTTTATCATGTAAAAGTTGGTTATTATTCAGAGTACTAATATAAGGAATTGTTGCCAAAACTTTGCAAAAACGTTGATTCACTTGAATACCACAGGTTTTTATTCAGCCTGTGATATCTAGAAAATTTCTTCAATGCAACAATGTGTTTAAAGGTGTGAGAAGTCGTTGAGTGGTTGTAGGAAAGAAATGTTAGCTCTTCTGTAAAGTTTCTAATCTGATTGGACTGTACTGAAAACATATTGAAGGTAGCAAGCAGAACTTTAAAGTTTGACAAGTAGCGCAATTTATTTCCAAGCAAATTGCAGCAATATTTATTTTATTAAACGCCTCAATAATTCAAAGAAAGTTTTTCGTGATGATTGATTGATTTACAATACAAATTAGGTTTTCACGCGAAAATTTGAATGAAAAAGTGGAACAATAATATTTGGTATGATAATAATAGTTCATCCTGTGCAGTGTTTCTCTCTAAGCAGTATTAAATAACTGTCCAAGGTAACTCCAATACAAGATCAGTGATTGATATATTGGACAGCATACACATTACTCTCCGTAGATGTGTATTGTTTTCATAATACGAAAATAAATACAAAAGCTAATGAGCACAAGCTTTCTCCTCAAAAATCTAGCCCCTATAAAACCATTAGTCCTAAGTGGAAACTCGAGGGGAAATTCCATGAAGTTTAATATCATTTGCGGACGAAAAGCAATGGGAAACAATTCTCTTTGTTAACAGATAGAGAATTGAGCAGATTTGCGCTGGCCGGTCTGTCATCAGATGATTTTATTTATTGTGCACCTGAAGCTACCATGATTATGCTTTCATTTTTATATATTACAGACGACGATTTCAGAAACGTCCGCCAACTCCGAATTCACAAAGAACTTTTGTGGATTTTATTCTTGAACCCTTGTACAAGATTTTCGCTCAAACTGTGGGTGACGTTGATAATTGCCTTCCGACGTTGTGTACAGAATTGGGTATCTACCTGACAAAGTGCGAGATGAAGTTAAACATACGCCCTCTCCTCCGATTGATTTTCAAACGGTTTTTCGGCGATTTCTCTGGTGAGTTTATAAAAGTATTGAGAGTAGTTTATTGGATGGTACCCTCTTTTATGTATCCGTTTTCAAAGTTCCGACTTGCAGATATCTATTAGTCACAGATTATCTGCTTTTATGTAAGATGCTAGCTTAAACTTATGACCTACATATGTTTCTAGGTTGCTAACGAATAGGCCTCATTCAAATTCCACATTGCTGTCTTCGGCTTATATTAAAAGTGGAACCCTCAGGTTTTACCTTCATACCTTTCTGTTTGATCTAATCTACCTTTTAGGGTGTTAGTTCTTTGAAGGCGATCGGCAAGAAGCTCTTGATCTAAGCTTCAGGCTTATTGGCATTCATCAGCAAGGCGTATCTGTAACCTCGAAGGAACTGATGTCCCATCGGAGATTCCAGTACGAGTCACCCAGTGTTGTAGTCAGAGACGTTACCACTGAGCTCACCAGTGACCGATATATATATATATATATATATATATATATATATATATATATATATATCGTGCATAGATTTCATTTGCCACTGAGCCAACAGGGCTGGTCCTACTTCCCAGGTAGGTGAAGTGGTCGACACATTCAACCACTACACTCTACTGTTAGGCATGGCACTGTTGAAGACCAATCCTGGAGCAACCATTCGCATTTGGGTGGTGAGAAGCGCATCCGAAACATTCTGAAATCGCCACTCAAAGTGTTCAGAAGACTGCATCTTGTCAGCGTGTTCACCTAACAGGACTATGTCATCTGCGGATAACAGGTCTAACGAAAATTCTCCTGCAATCAGACAACGTCTGTATAGTCAGGTGACGAGAGGGAGACCCTCCATAAGAATATCTATGGTAAAATTGAACAAGAATGGAGACAGTAGGCATCCTTGACGGACACCACTCGACGAGTACAGCTCCCCGAATATCTCACCATAGGCTCTAACACACCCACAAGTGTTCGAGGAGGGAATCTTCAATAAGGTGATGTGCTTACTCGGCACACCTTTCGGTGAGAGACATTTCCATAAGACGTATCGATCAATGGAGTCGAAATGCCCCTTCAGGTCGAGAAATACAGCTATCGTCATGCGTCGGAAAGCGTGCCTGTGTTCCAGAACCTGGCGCAGTGTGAATATTTGGTCGATAAACCTGCGGCTGGGTTTAAAGCCTGCCTGGTTTTCTCAGGCTTGCTGTTCTCGAGCTCCAACCAGGCGTCGAAAAATTGTAGAACCTAGGATCTTAGACACTATGTTTGTCAGTCTGATTCCTCTGTGGTTACCACAAGAGGACTTTTCGCCCTTCTTGAAGACTGGAATAATCAGTGATTCAGACCAGTCAGAGGGGATCGTATTTGATTCCCATATACTAGCTAACATTTCCGTTAACCTGACTAAGAGCACTTCACCATCATTCTTGTATACCTCAGCAGGTAGTCCGTCTGGTCCTGCTGCCCTCCCTCGTTTCAGGTTACCTACCGCTTTCTCAACTTCTAGTTTTGGGGGGCCTACCTCTATGTCTCATTCAGGATTCGACTAGATTGCGGGCAACGCAATGGTGGCTGGTGGCCCATCGTTCCAGTCGTCTCCCCTGAGAGTGAATCACATCTGTCCTTCTCCGCTATAGCCTCACTGACCGCAGTTGACCTTTCTTCCCCCCCCCACTCTCCTTAATAAGTTTAAATGACTGTCTACTGTTACCAATCGTTGCTGCCTTTTCCATCTCTTAAGCCTTCGCTGCCCTCCATCGTTTGTTATCGTTGCGTAGGCTTTTTCTGAATCTACTTTTAAGTTGCGCCCACTCTTCATTGTGCTCAGAGCCTGTGAGGATGCGTCCCGTCCTTCACTGCATCCGAACTACGGTCAGTGGGTGTGTAAGCAGAGATTCCTATTCCTTTTAGTTCTCACTGTGCCGTTCAGTCGGATAGTGCAGAGGCTTCTATCAATTGGGATCCAGTCTAGTAGTGTTTTCTGCCCTAGTGCTTATGCTATGCCTACATCTGCCAGACCGCGAGGGCTGGCTATCGGATCTCCAGAAACTGGAAGAGTGAATTTTGCGGAGTCACCAGATTGGTCGGGAGAGGTTAGGTGAATAACCGCACTTGGGTCCTGTATGCGAGCCTCACAAAGAGAGCACACATCCATGCCCCGAGTTGCTAGAGTCTTTGCCAACGAAGCCTGTTGACCAATTTGACGGAGGGTGCGGACATCGAAGACCCTGATGTGTAATTTGGAGCGTGGTTTAAGGAGACTAAGGATGCTGTTCTGTGGACTCAGATCGTTTTCAAAGGCTGGGCTCTAGGAGGAATTGAAGATGTAGTATTGTTGGTTGGGAGACGTGAAGGAAGATTAGGAGGTAATGAGGGGGGAGGTGGATAGCAGTCTGAGGAGACTTGAGTGCTGACAGAGTTGTGAGGGCGGCTGATACTTCTCGGTTGCCCACACCGTGGAAGGCTATTTCTTCTTAAAGTACCTGAAAGAGATCTGTGTGACTGCAGAGCCCATCGGACATCTGCTTGAGGCCTGCCACACACAGCCTTTTGTGTATGGTTGTTTTGAACTTTTGTGATTTTGGAGCCGAATGGTCGAAAAGAAATGACAAATGAACCAACACCGCCAGCCCGGCAAACCGTGGAGTATGGTGGAGTGTGTTACTTTTTGAGCCGACTTTTTCTAACTCCCCCCCCCTTCCACCGAGAAGGCAGCATCAACATGGCACTGCGGGTCATCCAAGAGAAACACCTTACTGCTGTCACACCCGATCCAGCTAGTAGCAGTACGACTTCGCCCTCAGACCCACATCATAGTGTAGTAATTTACACCACAACGGTAACTGCTTTTCGCCTAACTGCTATCCAACCTATCTTCCTGGTATGGCAGGACCTCGATGAGACAAGTGTTCCACCAGCATAGCTCGTTGGGTCATTATGATATGCAAGCCTGACCACCATGTCAAGGTAGCAGCTATGGGTCATGTCATTGTCTACACTGAAGTTAGCGGATGTGTTGAAAGATTGTAAAGAAACAGCTGCGAGTTTCATTATTTTTTTCTGTCTTCGCTGTTCCTTTCAGTGGAGCAGTACACTTTCTACCTTAAGACTCAATTCTATTCGTATGTGCACAAGACTGCAAGAACTAGCAATCGAATCTCCTGAGAGTTGAAGGGTAAGATTTGTGGATTCGCGATATTATCCGGTTGATGTTATGTGAATTGTCGCACTTAGATCCTATATATATATATATATATATATATATATATATATATATATATATAAAAGATGCAGTGTTAAGCCTGTAGCTCTGTTTCGGAAGACCAGAGATACTGTTACGTGAACTCTGATCGTAATCAAAGGCTGCTTTGAAGTGTGGCGAGTTAAACCGATGCACTTTTGTGCGAGGGTCTGCGTTGGTTTCGTCTCTCTATTTCTCTGTCGGCTTCATTGGAGGATTAACAGAATTTATACCTCTTCCAAGTATTTTTAAAAATAAGGTCGACAAGGTGAAAACTTGTATGTTAAAGTTTGACAATTACCAGTAATTAGAGCACATTCACATTTCTAAGACTCAAATCGGTGGTATCAGTCTTATTTCCTGTGCGTAGTATATGCCTTCGTAAATTCTCCAAAAATGCTTTCCCAGGTACCATAATCAATCAGAATATTTACCTTGTCAACTTCACTTGCTCATAGAACGTACCTTAAGACTTTTATGTGGAGTCTATGTTTCGCGATATATGAATTAATTTTCAACTTCCATATCTTTTTTGGGTTATAATTGTATTATTACAAAAAATTTCCACATTCTCGCCAGGTTTTGTCCATATGTGTGTTGATCATATACCAAGTCCAGTACGTTCGGCTTTAATCAAGGTGGAATCAGCGTACACTGGCACACTTGACAATGACCTGACACATGCTATGCTTAAATGTGATGTTGATCATGAACAGGTTGTAGTTCATACCACTAAGCTGTATCCCGATCAAGAGGCTATCTCTTTCCATGTTTTTGGACGTGTAATGTGTGGCACTTTATTTGCTGACCAAACCGTTCGTGTCTTGGGAGAAAATTACACACTTTCTGATGAAGAAGATTCCCGAACAGCCACAGTTGGTCGTCTGTGGGTATCTATAGCCCGGTATGATGATTTAATTGACATACTGATAATCCAGAAATCTTTTAAATGTTCATGACATTTTTATAGGTGTTCCCATTTGTTTGAATGTAAGACAATACAACTCAACATAAAATTGATTATGTACTGAGTCATGAGCCATACGTTTGTTGTCAGGGTTCGTAATAATACTCGGTCACTCAAGTAAAAGTGGACAGGATGGGTTATGAACCCGGAACTCCCTGTATGAAGTTCGACTTTCTGTGCAAGTGAACCGTAAGTAGGTTTAAGTCGAACAGTGTGACTATTTTTTTTATTCACTTCATCTCAGGCTGCTTTGGAAATTGCATATTATTTTTAGGGGAGTCGTGACTTTTCGCTCCTTGATATGCGTTTGGGTTACGCAACCTGTGTAAGTCAGAAATTCATCTTCATTCAAACAAAAACCTTATAAAATCATTTGCTAAGTGTCTTGTAGATTTTTTGAAGTTTATCATACCGGTGTATTCTTTGATTGGTAGGGTGTAGGCTGGTAATGTCTCCGTATCACCCTTGGTTTTCCGACAGTAGTTTTGAAGTTTTGTTGGTACTTCTTGATGGTCAGATAGATATGGTCTTAAATTTAGTAAATCCTAGGTAACATAACTAATTCACAGCAGTCTAGGTAAAGGTATTTATGTGCATTTGTAGAAAACGACAAGACGGAGACGAGGGAAAGAATGTTTATTATTGACATCTTTTACCGTAGCCATCAAATATGATACACCTTGCACTAAGACAGTTATTTGCATAATGTGCTTCATTTCCTCTTCTGCTTCTATTTTGATTTGCTCTTAATACGCCCGCATTGTCTCTTATATTTCTCTAGACAGAATCTTTATCCATTGCTGGTAATTCCCTATGATTTCTGTCGCCCTCTCAACACAAACTACTTATATCCATTCTGATCAGCAACGCCTACTACACAATAAGTTAGCAAAATAGTTCAGTTTTATCATTTGATGTTCCTCAGTACGACCGCTTTTATTATGTTCATTATGTTCTTGTGTGATAGACATTTTGTTTTCGAATTATCATTCCTGTTCTTAGATCCTGTTTGTTGGTATTTTGTATCATCTACTGAGGACGAATCCTATCAAAACAAAACATTGCTCTTCAGTTTATTGAAGTTTCATGGTATCAGTGTTATCCCTGGGTGTATATAATGGACTTAACCAGTAGCTAACTCGTACTTCAAATACCGCAGACTCAGACGAAAAAAGAGAAGGGAGAAGATCTGTTTGGATAAGAGAGTTTATTGGCTCTGGGATGATTCGAGATGACTTTACACTTGTATATGTACATGATATATGACCTTGACCAGCATTTGAGACATGAACATAGTAAGGACCAGTGTCAACCAATCAGTGAATTGCCCTGAAATAGAGTAAAAGTGGTAACTTTGAAATATACAGGTTAATGAAAAATGTTTCATGCAAATCCCAACAGCAGCAAACTGAAAGATAATGAAAATATGATTTGCAAAATTTAAGTAAAACGTAAATGATTAGCGTAAATGTCTAATTGGTTTCTTGACGTTGCCTACAGTTGCACAGTAATATAATTTTCATAAATTTCATCACATTGGTTCATGTTCTGTAAAACACTTGAAACACTATTGGGAGGGATCATAATTGCCTTCAAAATTGCTATTTCTCAACTTTCCTAGCCATCCGTTATGCATGTGCAGTTCCAGATGCTTACATAGACTGTGAAAGGTTTAGCATACGCCACTTTGTTGGAAGCGGGTTATTTCTATTCTACGCCTGCGAAGCCTGACCTTTATGAGCTGAATTTATCTGATAACAGTGTATCCGATCTCTGCCGTTTCTACAAAGTCGCTCATAGCTGGTTGAAGAACTTTGTCAGTAATTCTGAGGTCAGACTGTGCGTGACCGGGTATTTCCCAGACTCACCCATTGACTGGATTCTCTTGAAACACTGCCTTCGGCAGCTGAGACATGTATTACGCACTCCATTCTACTGACTGCGATACTGCCAACCTTTTTAGCCTTGAGAGTGAGTAGAAGAAGTAAAGATGTAGCGAGTGTACGGCGATATAGTTCCTCTGATTGTTAACATTAGCACGAATTATAATGCCATAGGACTGCTTCTCATTGAACATCAGTTTTTCTGTTTGCCAGTTTCACTTCATAATGTTGTGATATCATTTTTGTTGCATATTTTATACCCACAGTCTATTAAGTTCATGTGTCAGTTACTTGAATAACATATAGGTTCAGTTTGACTCGTTCAAGAGACATAAATAAATGGAAACGACTCTGTTTTTTTCTCCATGGGCTTTTCACCCTAGTCATTAATCCTCATGTGAACTCTACAACAAAGTTTCTGAGGTCATTTGTTTAATCGCAGCTCGCCATTTAGTTCCACTACTTTTGTTTTTCTGAAGTCATCTGTTATTCTGATTAATATTATTATTGCATGTAATAAGAATGGTGCTACGTCGTCTGTTTTCAGTGAATCTATCATGGGTCTATCTGATTTGTTTGAATCAGTCCGAAGTTACTTCAGTAGAGAAATACAGAGTTTATAACCATGACTCTAACCTCTAATTAACTCATGACATACATTACTATCATATTCACTGTGGTACATGTAACGCATCTATAAATAGTCATTTTGAATGTTGTTGCCAAAACTATGACATTTTTCTTTGTCAACGAAAGATGCGGTGCAGCGGTGTATCGAAATATGTTTAATAACCAGTATTGTTCTAATAGTCTTCACACACTGGAATTATACATACTATTCAGTGATGCATATAATCTCAAAACAGGTCAACTGACAAGTTCACCGTTATTTTTTTTACTCTTGATTGACCTTTCGCTGAATAAAAATACACATTTTCATACTTAAGTAATGAATTACTTATTTATATTACCCGATACCCCTAATGTATTCCCCTAGGTTTTTCATTACCTTTTACTTGCAATGAATAAATATTTTTAATCGGAGCTATTCATTTCAACCAGCATCCCAATCTTGATACAAATCGGTGATTGAGTTTACTTTTTATGCGATTAAGCGATCCGTTTCGTGTTACTAGTTGACGATTGTTCTTATTATTTCTGAGAAGTTAATGTTTATTCCCTGTCATCATCTTAGTATGGATATTTTCTTTGAATCGTTTTTAAATCTCCAGTTACCAACTAGAGGTAAATCGCGTTCCGGCTGGTAATTGGGTTCTGATTGAAGGTGTGGATCACCCTGTTGTAAAAACCGCTACCTTGACATCAATAGATGCTCGTGAGGCACATATATTTAGACCTCTTAATTTCAACACTTCTTCAGTCGTTAAAATCGCAGTTGAACCGCAAATCCTTCTGAACTTCCAAAGCTGTTGGATGGCCTTCGAAAAGTAAGTGTTTTGAATTATGTATATAGTAGTGTGTTGGTACAGGAGCTGTGAGTAGTATGAATCGACTAAAACTCTTAACCAGTGATTGACAATTCCATGCTGTTAGTACTGTTTCTGAGTTCATAAAACAGCATACTTATTCATAAAACTTTTCATAGATTTCAAATTGCTCTATCATTTTAGGTCAATAAAAGTTACCCTCTTCTAACAACCAAAGTTGAAGAATCTGGTGAACGTGTGATTCGGGGTACCGGGGAATTGTATTTAGATTGTGTTATGCATGACTTGCGCAAGCTTTATTCGGATATCGGTGAGTTCCCGTGAAATCATTGTCTGCTTCAAAATGTTTTTCTGGCTAATGACATCACTGCGATAAAACAACTTGGGAATCATAGGAATCTAAATAACTACTTTCAGACAACTCATAAATGCAATGAATATGTATTGCATAAACACAGGCCAATAGATTTGTTGCATGATGTCCCCAAACGGTCTTCCCAGTGTATGCCCAATCCATCTCCACTTCCTTCCGCATATTTGTTGGACGATAGCTTCTTGGTTGGTTCTCTGTTAGCCAGAGTTCCTTGTTGCTTATTCTTCTGGCCATCTGATCTTCAGTATCGAGTGAGCGTAGGCGGCAGTTGTTGATGAATCTCTGTAGTTTGTTGGGAATGCTTTTCGTAACTCACCAAGTCTCTCAAGCATCATATAGTAACACACTTGAAAACCCGGATCTTGTTCTTTATGCTGAGTGTAGTGCAGAAGATCTCCACACCGATTTCAGATTAATGAAGACCTGTTTTGCTTTTCCGATCCTGGCTTTGATATCCTCATCTGTGCTTCTGTCGCCGCCTGCAGTTGAGACGACACTTCCTAGGTAGGTGAAAGATACTACTTCCTTTAGGTTTCGCCAGTTAACTGTGATTGGCACCTGTTGTTGTTGGTTGGGTATCTTCATCACCACTGTCTTCTCTACGTTCACTTGAAGTCGCGTCTTCCTTCGCTGCCCCTTCTGTCAACTTGTTAGCTTTCGCATGTAGATCTTCGAGTTTGTGCGATATTAGACATAACTCATCATCATCGACGAAATCTAAATCTCCCAAGGTCTTTTCATCGGTCAAACAGCCAGCGTATGCCCATCTTCTCGCTCCTCACGGTTTGCTGTATGATCCAGTCCAGTCGACCACAATCAGGAAGATCATCGGTGATAGTAGGTGGTAACCTTGTCTTGTCTTACTCCTGTCTTCACTTCAAAGGCGTCACCGAGCTTTCCATTGTGAATCACTTGGGATAGAGCATCCTCATATAGCATATAGCTGTTGAATGAGGTTGGTAAGGATTTGTGGCACTGAAACCGTAGTGTTGAAGCAGCTGCCTGCCAAATTACTTCTCAGTCGACGCTGTCGAAGGCCTTTTCAAAATCGATGAAGTTGAGGTTAAGTGTTGCTTGCACACGATCCTTTAGCCAGTTAGTCTGGATGCATCGGCATTTAGACTCGGGCTATCATATTTAGTATTCCACTTGGCTACTCTGTTGTGTTCTTCTCTGGTCTTGCACTCATGGGTATATTACAAGTAGGAATAATTAGTGATTGACCTTTGTCAAGTTCACGTAACACCAATCCCCAAATGATGAAAATCCAATCATCTGTGTTGTTTACATACGTGCTAATATTACATTATTTCGGTTGTTCTGTTCCAACAAAAAATTGTACATTACTGAAATAGAAACACTATTTCAAGTAATTACTTGGTGCCTCTTGAGCTTCAAGGTTTGTGCTTCGTGTAGTAATGAGATATTTTTAAGTTGCATGGATATCTATAAACGATTGGCTGTTGGGTATGAGTGACCTATCCTTCTTTCTTATCAGAGGTTGACCTTAATTTCTGCTGTCTTTTGATGTATGTTTTTGTCCTGGCCCTATCTGACTCCGTTGATCGATAAGTCTTATGGAAATGTCTCTCACCGAAAGGTGTGCCGAGTAAGCACATCACCTTATTGAAGATTCCCTCCTCGAACACTTGTGGGTGTGTTAGAGCCTATGGTGAGATATTCGGGGAGCTGTACTCGTCGAGTGGTGTCCGTCAAGGATGCCTACTGTCTCCATTCTTGTTCAATTTTACCATAGATATTCTTATGGAGGGTCTCCCTCTCGTCACCTGACTATACAGACGTTGCCTGATTGCAGGAGAATTTTCGTTAGACCTGTTATCCGCAGATGACATAGTCCTGTTAGGTGAACACGCTGACAAGATGCAGTCTTCTGAACACTTTGAGTGGCGATTTCAGAATGTTTCGGATGCGCTTCTCACCACCCAAATGCGAATGGTTGCTCCAGGATTGGTCTTCAACAGTGCCATGCCTAACAGTAGAGTGTAGTGGTTGAATGTGTCGACCACTTCACCTACCTGGGAAGTAGGATCAGCCCTGTTGGCTCAGTGGCCGATGAAATCTATGCACGAACACAAAAGTCTCAGCTGGCTTTTGTCAACTTGCACCAACTATGGCGCCGCCGTGATATCCGATTGTGTATTAATGGTCGCGTGTACTGCACAGCAGTTCTCTCTGTTCTACCCTATGACTGTGAAACATTGTTATTGAAGGTGGAAGACATGAGAAGTCTGGCTTCAGGTGTTTGACCACCGTTGCCTTAGTACTATAAGCCGTATTCCGTGATGTCACCACGTGAGTAACGCAGAAGTCAGGCGTAGAGTTTTAGGGAGAAAAGGTAAGTCAGTTGACGAGGTTGTGAACCCTCATCGACTGAAATGGTTGGGACATGTGTTACATATGCCTGGTCACCGATCGCCTCGTCATACAATGTTGGCCGAAGCAGGTTCAGACTGGTAAAGGGCCCGAGGCGGCCAGACCAAAACATGGCACCAACGTATGCAGTGTTTGACTGTTGGTTTTAGCCATGTGAGGCGATGCAGACTAGTCGGTTGGGGTCTGCCGGACAAGAGGAATCAGTGTTTGGAGACTCTAGGTGATGTGGTTTAGAACCGATATCAGTGGTGCAGATGTATACACACATTATCCTCATCTTAACGCTATACCGAATTTCACTATTTTCTCATTCTTCCTTTCTCTCTTTTAGTACTTTATATTTCTTTCGACTGGGTTTTCTCTTCTTTATCTTCTACTTCACTAACCTCTTATTTGATGTACTGATATGGGCTGTGGCAACTCTGACCATAACTCAGTAATTTCTGGTCCTATGTTGATAGATGATGATGTTTAGAGAATGTTTTAGCTGCGTTCTATCAGTAACTATCTAAACTCCAACTGAAAAGTAGACGTTGAAATGTAATCCACATAGTAGATGATTTTAATGCTCAAATGGTTAGGCTAAGACAGAAGGAAATCTCGATGTCACTTGTGAAATCGCAGTCGTACAAACAGATAACTGTGATTGCCTGCTACAGATATACTCATAAAAACGATCTATTTCTAAATAGTACAAACATCAGAGACAAGAGAGACTGTGACCACGTGCTGCACACTGAATTTGAATCAGCGCCAGTAACAAACAGACCACGTTAGTATCAGATACTGCTGGACAAGGTTGGTGGAAGTTTTCGACACCGATGCCCAAGACTACCTGTATTCCACAGCCTGAAAGTGGAACTCTACTCCATTGATCCAGAGGTCCTATGACAGTGTCTATCACTGGAACGGGTGTCAAGTTAGCAGATCCTTCTGTTGAAGGCTCTGTATTCAAACATTTGTAGGTGTGTTAGATGCAGTGGTGAGTTATGTACGTCGAGTGGTGTCCGTCAATGATTTCCACTCTCTGCATTCTTATGCGACTCTATCATAAACATTCTTCTGCAGGCCTCTCTTTCGTCATCTGGCTTCCATATTTATTGGTTTTATCAGAGAATTCCTTGTAGACCTAGAGTAGGGAGTTGACACGTTTTCTTAGATGAGGACACTCGAACATTAAAGACTTCTGGACACTCAGTGGCAATTTAGGAATGTCAGTCATGCGCTCCTCGGCATTCAATTGTAAATTGTTGCATGCTGACCACAACAATAACTAGGTAGGTCGGAACAGCTGCGGTGAATCAGTAACCGGAGAAATCTTCGCATGGATACAAAAGGCTAGGTTGATTTTTGCCACTTTACGCCGTTTGCTGCACACCCTTATATCGGATTGCCTATTAAAAGTGGAATATACTGCGCTGCTGTTTGTATGTTATGCTATGTTTGCGAAACATGGTCATTAAAGGTAGGGGACATTAGATTTCAAGTGTTTAAGAAATATTGCCTACCCGTGTGGTAGGGTGTCACTACGTCAGTATCGTGAAGTCAGGTGTTAAGTTTTAGGGAGGGGACGGTCCGTCGACGAAGTTGTGAACCTTTATCGACTCAAGTGACTAGGCATACGTAACACATTTTTTGTCGTTGTCTGCCTTATTGCACATTGTTAGCTAAAGTAGGTTCAGGTTGGAAAGGACCAGACTACGGGGTAGTGTTTCTCGTCGTATTCCCAACCTTCCTTCTATGGTCCGGGCTTCGGACCGGCTAGTACACCAATGAACTTTTAAACTAGGCGAGGTTGTGACGAACACTGGTTATCATATTTCATGGTGGTTATTATTTTTGGTATACTCTTGTGTTGAACGCATGCAAAGCATATGTATATTAAATTATTTATTAGCGTTGAATGCAGTGTTGATTTATTCAGATAATCGTTGGCTACCGATTTGCTTTTTATAATAATAATAAGTTGGAGTATTTGTCTATCATGTATATTCTAAAATAAACCTCTAATGGAACGACAACCAAGTGTTAGTCAATGTGGCTTTGCCATCTCAAGAGAAAAGAGTTTGCGTCTTTGACAAAGTAAAGGTTGGTGATGTTCTATAAGAAAAGTTCAGATTATCAATGGCGAAAGAAGTGTTAATAACAGTAGACAGCCTGAGTAAATTAAAATGAAGGCGAGGAAGCATAAGTCAAGCTTTCATTGAAATTGTTCATGGTTCGAAGGTAAATTGTTGAATATGTCACAGGCATATTCAGTTTCTGTTGGTCCCATGATAACATGAACAAACGGTTTGTATCCTTTTTTATTTTGGAGTGAGGTCTTTTGGTTTTAAAAAACACTCAATTGCTATCGTGCGAAACTTGTACCTAATAGCGGAGACTAAATCACGTACGAAAAATATTTTCGGTAAACATACAGCTGAGTAACCCCTTTCTGAAGTTTCTCCCAGTCTCATATTTCGATTGAAATCGTACCATATCTGCTCCAGGGCATCCGTCAATTTCAGATTTTGTTGTTGATTAAGAATAAATGATTGTTTTGTGTATTTCGCCTAATGCTAACAATCTATTGGTCCATTTTTCAACTCTAGACGTGAAGGTTGCTGATCCTGTGGTAGCTTTCTGTGAAACAGTTGTAGAAACGTCTTCCTTGAAGTGCTTTGCAGAAACACCGAATAAAAAGTGAGTTTACCGGGATTATTCAGGTGAAGTGGTTCGAGTGATACCTTATCGGCCGGAGCTTGTAGCACTCATTAAGAATGTGTTTGAAAATTTTTTTGCATTGTATTTCCCTATTTTTATTATATAGTATAACTAACCATGGGTAAATTATGATCACTAGGTAAATGTGGTTCTTTCACTAAGTTCTGTCTCTGTTAACTAGTTCTTGAGTAATTCAACTACCCAATGGGCTCCAATATTCTACTTCGATGAGAACAGTGAAACTATACCTACGAAAAGTATCAGTCGACAGTAAACGTTATTCAAAATCTATGTTTGTTATTGAACAAAGACCGATATTAAAAGTGGATAAAGGCTACTTTCTACGTTTTAGATGATGCAGAAGACTCTATACTTCGTCTTTCCCATCTATAAGTTGTCTTTGAATTATGGCTAAATTGTGCTTTCGTCTTCCTGAATTTGTCAACCTTCTTAGTCTGCTGTTAATTGTTATCTATGAATTGTTCCTCAACGCATTGGAATATTAATAACTTTGTTATTGTTAAGCAGTGTCGACTTACATCGCATACATCAACTTTACTTTATGTTAGAATAATAATACTTCGTTGAGGGTTTCATCGTACAAGGAATTTGTAGCATATTGGATTACATGTTACATTTCTCAGTTGTCTTTTGTGAAGTGTATTACTTGACCAATTAATATGCCTTGGGTTTCCTAACACACTCTTTTTAAATGTCTTCCTAATTTTTAGAAATAAGTTGACTATGATTGCAGAACCACTGGACAAAGGTTTAGCCGAAGACATTGAAAATAAAATTGTCCAAATTTCTTGGCCGAAAAAACGCCTTGGTGACTATTTCCAGAAGAAATACGACTGGGATTTGCTTGCTTCCAGGTATTGAGATCGTTGTCAAATTTTTTTTGGTGTGATTGTATTTAAGAAAAGAATACATTGATCGTTACATACATAGATAATCAGGTGAATCAACCTAAAGCCGGGCACCAAAGTGATTCAATTCAGGTTGTCACGCCTCACACCAATATGCAAAAAAAATGGCAGTAAAGTTAACAAAAGTGTATCAGAATAAGGAGAATAAAACCGATGAATTCAGTGAAAATGTTCTAGATTCCAAAAATAACAAAAAGTGTACATGTCTATGTCAATAAGATTGATTTTGCGCCATATCCCCGAGACCTACAAACGATCGATTCTTATCATCCTCAGGAACCACAAATAGACTTACATCCTTCTCAATAAATCAGACCAGGAGTCAGAAAGTTCATTGATAGGCATAACTACTTGATTGATTCGGTCACTCTTACTCTTTTCCAACTTAATCCTACTTTGGCTAAAATTATGCTTCTAGAAGGACATTCGAATCACAAATTCAAGCCAGTTTATTTATCGACTTACCTTCCTAATATACATATATATAATATACACCTAACTTCAACAATGCTCAGAGATGGGTTCGATTATATGTAAGGAATTCTATGAAGATGCTAGTGGTAAGAAATACACCTGTAATCGCTTGATATTTCCCATGTCTCACAGTCGTAAAGTGAGACAACCAGCTGCCGTGTTGCTGCTACAAAATGTTTTTATAAATCCATGGTCCACTCATATGATGAGAGTTATTCTTTGTTGTTCACTTTTCAAATATGGAATTTGATTTACAGAAAATGAAAATGCATATTGGATGTCGTTATAATGCTCTACAGTTCAAGACTAGACTTTTGAAGTGAGTTATTCTTGTGGTTATTGTGTTGTACGTGGTAAGTGTAGCAGTTCAACTTAAATGGAATTACATTTTACTGCGAAACTCCCAAACCTTAGTCTTATATTATGTTGTTTTTGTTTATCTCATCCAATCTTCTCGCTTCATTTTGTCGTACCAAACTTTATATGCCTTGCGCAACAGATCTATATGGGCTTTCGGACCAGATGCGGCTGGTCCAAATGTGCTGATGGATGATACTCTGCCATCTGAAGTTGATAAGAACCTACTGCTAACTGTTAAAGACTACATTGTTCAGGTATGTTACTCGTATAGACTTATTTGGAATCAAAAGTATTCGTCTCATGAGTAGTTCATTTCCGTAGTTTTTCACATATGTATTATATACTTAAATATTGCATTTCTGTGAAACTTGTAGCAGACTCTTTTTTGGTGATATTTTTAACTAATGCTTCGAGATGCGAGGCCGGTAGGCTCAACCAATTGGGACATGGGCACAACTCAACGATAACAGTTGGCTGTAGCTGCGCTTTCTCACAAATTGATAGAAGTAGGGAAGTGTAAACCGTTCAATTCCAACTGAGTTGTAAGTGCTCTTCGCAAAACCTGAGTCTTGGTTTGGGTCCTTGACGGGATCATAGGTGCGCGCTGCTGAAGAGTTTCATATTAGGATGAAACACCTGGCCGATGCCTCTAGGTTTTCAGTGGTTCTCCAACTGATCAGTCTGTGGTGAATGCCACTTTGAGATCAATAAACCTCCAAAACTGAATTACTTGATTCTTTTAGAGTATCTAGTATTGCGACAAAGATGCAAGTTCAATTTTCACTTGTTGCTGCTCATAATTCCAATAGTCATATTGCATTTTGTTAAAGGGTCTCGAAATATGTGTACTTTAATTCTCTTAGAAACTAATATTTTGTTTACCTCATGTTGTTCAGGGTTTCCAATGGGGTACACGAGAAGGTCCACTTTGCGATGAACCAATTCGGAATGTGAAATTTAAAATACTGGATGCCCTTATATCCGGTGAGGCGCATCAGCGAGGTTCTGGACAAATAATCCCAACTGCCCGTCGAGTGGCTTACTCTGCTTTTCTTATGGCAACACCTCGTTTGATGGAACCTTATTATTTGGTTGAGGTTCAGGCACCAGCAGATTGTGTTTCAGCAGTGTATACCGTACTTGCTCGTCGTCGGTGAGTGAACATCGTAGTTTGTGTTCAATAATATGGACTGCGTTTTTGTGGCAGGCTATTTTCACAAATGCCCAATTTAGAATTTTTAAACTTCTCCTGCTTCTTGGTGAGAAGAAAATTGTACCATTGGTTAGGGGATAATTCGATGTTATTTAAATTCTTTCTGACAATTTCATAACAAAATTTTGTCCAGCAAATCGAAGACAGTTTTTTTTACGGGAGCGTAAAGTGATTGTTGCCCTGCAATACATGCGACGATGTTCAGGCATCTAGCAGAGTGTTAATACATGATTATTGTATCTATGATTTGAACGGAACCTGCTTGTCATGTAACAGGTTTACCCGCTTTCCATTGTTGAAGAAGTAAAGTAATGGACTGCAAACTTCTGCGGTTGGTTGATTGGATCCCCTCAATGACCCGGGACTTCTTTTGCTTCCGATGACTCGGATAACACGGGAGAGTTCATCGCTTCTTTTCATTTGCAGTGGGTCGTTATGTACAAATTGCTATATCTCACGTACACACAACAACTTTTCTACTTTATAATAATAACATTACTATTGGATTGAAAGTCCACTGACTGAGAATAAATAACTTGTTAGCAAAACTTGCAACTGGCGTGATAAAGTAAGTTTATCGTCGGTGTGTCGATCATATATGACTCGCAGTGACCTTGCACCAAAGGATTGACGACTGGAGTGATATTTCCCAACTGCTAGCAACGTTCTTTTAGGATGTGCTGTATGAATAGCCTGTTATCATGATTTGGTTATGTATGCCAAAGAAATCGACATACGCGGTTCTCACGAAACTAAACCAGCAGTGTTCTGCATGCTTTCATCTTCCGATCTATGGATTTAAACTGAACACCTTATCTAGTGATTGTGTTAACTTTTCTTTTATTCTATGCAGCACAACCATTCCCAGTGGGTAAATATATACATGGTTGGTGTGGGATTTTTAAAAGCATATACTTCCTTGTGTTCAGTTTCACTATATTTAGCTGGAAAAGAAAATATAATTGAATACACTACTTCTTGAGGATTTCATTTCAAAAGTGTGACTAATTTCACATTGTGTTCTTAATCCCCAGTGGCCATGTAACCCATGATGCACCCATATCTGGATCTCCATTGTATGTTATTCGTGCATTTTTACCTGTTATCGATTCATTCGGCTTTGAAACAGATCTCAGAACCCATGCTCAAGGTCAGGCCTTTTGTATGCTTATCTTCAATCACTGGCAGATGGTTCCAGGAGATCCTCTTGACCGCTCAGTTCAGATACAACCTTTGGTTCCACAACCTGCCACTCATTTGGCACGAGAGTTTATGATCAAGACTCGTAGACGAAAGGTGAGTACTTTTTCAATTCCTTACCTACACATGCAACAGGGGCTGAAAGTTATCAGGTTTAGTGAACATGAATTTAAGACAACATGAGCACTAAGAAGCAGACCACCTTTATTCTCTAAAGAGCTTCTAAATATGTTACAATAAGATCATATTTAATCATCATAGGCGTTAACCAGCGATACTCTTTTCAATTCAAAATGTCAATGTTTCACGTTAATAGAAGTGTAAGAAATGAGAGACTGTTTCCTCTTCATTTTCATCATCATTTTCGCTAGTAAATAGTGCGAGGCACACAGCATAGCAAAAGAAACAAAGATTATCTGAATAATCTGTTGTATTAATGCAACAAATTTCAAAAAGCCTGATAACACTGGTTTTGTGCTAGTCTTCTGAATGAATGAAAGAAAGTGTCATATATATATATATATATATATATATATATATATATATATACTTATCCGGTTATTAGAATTTATAAGTCGTTCAACCTAACAGAGTATTCTCAGCGCCTCTAAACTACTTACCACAACTACTGTTTCCTAAAAGATTAGAAACATGCATTCTATTAGGCATAACGGGATGTGGTACCAATGGTATGCACCTTGCTCACGTTCGGATTGAATTGTGGACTATAATCTTGATAGAGTACTAAGGTTTGGTTTGTTCGAACCAAGGTTGTTTAATATAGCAGCTAAAGACGATTTCGGTGTTACACTGCTTAGACACTTGTTCAGAATTTGAAATTTTGTCAAAACATTATTTTCTGTGCAAATACGATGGATTCTATCAGCTTTAATACGATGATTTAAATACAGCTCAGGATACTACCTTCATGTCTCTTTTTATCGACCAGTTTTGCACTATGGATACATCTAACTCCTGAAACACGCATCAGAAAATGAGCCACATCTGTTGTGTAAAGGTTTTTGATACTACCTGACTATCAGAATTTTGTAAAGGTAGAGCAGGATTCGAATCTTTTATGCATAGTTTGAAATCCAGCCACGTAGGTCAATGAGAAACAGGCGGACCACTGCAGTTAGCACGTTCGCAGGGTGTGTTTAGGTTCATATTCACTTTTGTTCCATGGCGATAAATAGTTGATTTTCACGTACATTCGTACTTCACATTATGCTGAAAACATCCGTAGCTGGAGGTAGAATTTCCTCATAACGCAAATACCTTGGGTATGTAAATAATGAAGATGATGAATTGTCCTTAGTTAATTTCCGTAATTTAGACTAATTCACATGCGAAGTATTTTCGAAACTAAAATCTATAGTATTTAATAAATTCTTTGGTTTTTCTCTATCAGACACCTGCTAAATCAAATTCACTTTGCTGAGTGATAGCGTCGTAATGGGTGTTGCTACACCTAGGGTCGCATAACACTGTCCATATATTGTTTATTTAAGATAACCATTTTTCTTTTTGCTCTGATATAAAATTAAGGGTACAAATAACTAAGTATGGTACCGAAAGTTGACACATATTGTTATTTGTTAGAATCTGCCAACGTATGTTGCTATTTCCAGTGGTACTTTTGAATAGTTGTTGTGCCCTGGATGATTTATACGCTCACCCATAAAAAAGTGGCGAACGCGGAAATGATAAAAGTACAGAAACAAGCTATAACTCTTGCCTATTCCGGTTTATCGGAAAGATGGGAAAGAGTAATTGCTAAGGAATTTAAATTAGAAAATCACTCAATGACAGGAGAGAAAAAACGTTGATAACTTTAAAGATATATCAGTTCATTAATTTGAATTTCAAGCACAATCAGCAATGAATTCAAAATCTTGATTTCTTAAATTTCTGTATACGTCAAAGTGAGCTCCCTAGATCCGCGATTATCAGTGTTTGACTGAAGTGCTTGGGAAGTAAGCTGTTGCAACCAAATATTTGGTGAACTCTCATGATTTCCTAGCAAATATTCAACACTTCTCTTGTGTCCTGTAACTTTCAGGGTTTGAATGAAGATGTCAGTATCAACAAATTCTTGATGATCCGATGTTATTAGAATTGGCCAAACAAGATGTGCTACTCAACTATGCACTGTAAATTTGTACACGTACTACTTTAATAAACTTCATCGTTTATCGATTAAACACAACATTGAAGGATTTCCAGAATTTTCAATTTCGCATTACTTTCACATATAGTCTTCTCTTCGTCTTACTGCCTCCAAACTAACACCTGCTTGTGCGTCTTTCTGTTGCATTTCGCGAGTGCCGAGAACCAGAGGTGTAAATTTGCTTCTATCTGTAAGTTTTGCAGGAAGTTTAGCATTCAGTCGAAACGCGCATTCGATAATCCAATGTATGTCCAGGAATGGTATCTGGAAAGTGCGGTGAAACACGAATCCCACTAACATTTAAATACGCAAATCATAACCGTCCCCCCGTTTATATCGCAAAGAAAATCCCCCACCAGAAAACTAAACGACCACATATCCCTAATATTCAAGCAAAGGAAGTCACTGAGGTTCGAGGTGTGACGGTAGTTCTCACTGAATACCCACACCACCTATCCACTAGAGGTGTCGTGCCCGTAGATGTGTGCTAGGACGCGGCGGCTAACCAACTAGTAGTAGTAGGAAGGAGAAACCCCACAAGTATATCTTCGCTTACTGTGAGTTGGACTGGGTATACGTGGTTCGAATGTTTCAGTGTCAGGGGTATTACTAACACGGCTGGTAACAGGCAGAAGACGATACCAACAGCATGACATGTGTCGCATGATTGTAACCCATTTCTTTATTGGTGTGCATTCAGAATTGACGCAGAGGTTCCTGCGTCGTGGTGTTATTCAGATGATTTTGAGTTCTCTTTTCCATGAGACAATATAAGTGTGATTCTGACATCAAATAGTGATGTCAAGAGACAACCAGGCTTGAGTTAAAGTTTGTGAAGGTCGCTAGGTGGATTGTCGTCTGGTCGGGTATTTTTGGCCGATGAAATCATCGAAATACGTAGAAAGTTCTAGTGGTTGACAAAGTGTAATTGTCACCGATAGATGATGTCCAGATGTGAAGTAACAATGATGCTGATCAGTGATGAAACATCAATTCCAAACAGATATCTAGTAGACTCTGGCGGGCATCATACCGTTGGTTGGGTTCGCCCTCACACAGTAGCTTGTTGTGCGTGTCCAGGTGGAAAGATGTGCGAAACTGTTGAAATGATAATTTGCCTTCCAAGTAATCCAGGTATGCATGTTATCACACGTTGTTCATTGTCTAGTTGAATTTACCACCACCACTCCATCCGTGTCTTCGCACATGGAACACTAACTTTCAGTCAGTTGCCAGAGCATCTGATAGCAAACTTTGTTCTCACCGTGTGTGCGTCTGATAGCAAAAGTGAGCTTTCTAACCTACAGTGGTTCCATGACGGTGAGTTTGTGTGACAAGAACACGACAAGGATGTAAGAATTCCATGGACGGCAGACAGGGCGGAGAAGGCATGTTTCTATTTGGGTAGGCACGTCGAAATCCTGTTTTGCGTCATTGGTTCAGTGTTCAGATATCTGTTGGTCAACGCTCGTATTGGGAACATGAAGCGCCATGGGAGGAGGGAGACGTGCTATTCTTGGTGTGGGCTTGCAGGATGCGTTGACAGCGTCGTGCGAGCTGTGCCGGTAAGCATACTGAAATATGTGTTCGATTAAGCATGCGTGCTCCAAATGTTTAAGTGTCAGTGTGTTTTCGCTCGGTATTTCTTATCGCTGTTATGCTCTTCTGATGTCTTCCGTGCGTTGTGTCATTTTTCCCCTGGTTTGTGGTTTTTGTTTCAGTAGAGTCACCTTGTGATTCATACCATTTTTCCGTTTGCGGCCTCACTTTTCCTTCACCCGTTTGCTCTTTGTCCATGCGATAGAGTTCTGTATCCGCCATGTACACTTTCTTGTCAGAAATGTTCGGCGAAAGCCAGCACTCCGTAAGTGTTCTCATTTCCAAGCTTCCCCTCGCAGTTCTTTAACACTGCCTTATAGACACATCAGGGCTTACCAAGTGGAAGAAACCACCTGGAAGTTTTCTGCGGGGATGGTGTTGCTGCAGTTAAGTTCTGATCCTGGGTGACTCCCGATATGAATGGCGTTACTTAGACCTTGGAGTTTCGGGTTCATTCCGTGAAGTGACTATGGTAGGGGAGGTTCCATCGCTCAGGGTGCTTGATATACCAGTTTGTCCCTGTGCGGTGATCACTGACTGGAGATATCTTAGCAGTTGCTGGCTATCTCACTGCTCGGTAGATCTAGACTTGCTTTCAAATAGCCGCATTTTGCCTCCTCCACTGCTTTGCATCAGGCTTGGAGGGCTTCTGCGAGTGGTGCGTGTGAATGGCTAGTGATATATGAATGAGGGTGGATACTGAGTTGTCTTATTTCGGCAGTCTACATACGCTGTCTGATATTGGATTGTGGACATTAATCGATGTAAATAACTACATCGATTACTGTATTATATGAGTGTTCGTTGTTATTCGTTTCAACTGGTCGTGTTTACTCTGTACAAAGTATTTCTCCAGCCGCGGATTCTCGGCTTCTGTTTGCTTGGGGAGATTTCGATTTCGCATAGCTTATTTGTCACTAACTACGATGCAACCGTCCATAACATTTTACTGTCAGTCCAATGGACCTGAAACTAACTTTTGGAACTAAACTGTCGACAGTTGGTAACGGAAACTTGAAGATTTTCTTCATACCTTCGTTGCATGACTTTTGTCGGGAAACTTTTATGATAAGAAAATACTTGTTCTCTTTAGCACCGTAATCGGTCAGTTGGGAAATCTTGCATTTCTTTAGTAGCCTACATATCTGTCGTATATAAAACTTTTAAGTCTTCTAGTAGACCATTTTCAAGCGCCCTGTTCAGAAACGCGCGGAGGAGATCAGTTTTATAAGTTTCTCCATGCTCCTGAATCTAAAACTTGAGATTTTGTTCTGAGGCTGCAAACACAAGCTTCAAATTGTAATTTCTGTAGCCAGTTGCACTCAATTGTGTGACCGTCTACTAACCGATATTATCACTCCGAAACCTGAGAAAGAGTTGGTTCGAAGACCTTACTGTATATTCAAAAATGCAAGAGCTTTATGGATTGTCAATGACTGAGGCTTCTCCCTGATGTGATCTAATACTCTCTAGGGTTCCTTATGCAGATTTACATACATAAAAGAACACAGAAGACATCTACAAGCGGAATACCACATACATTTCTCCTAATAGCCTGGAGCAAATCGGTGTCAGATCATGTTATTTGTGTGGAAAATGTTGCTTTCGTAAGGTCAGATGTCAAATGTGGCAAACTAGGATGCACACGTACTGTTTACAAAGGTCCAGGTACACAGACCACTAAGGCTTTCGGTGCCTCGCCTTTTATGTCAGCTCAAATGGGATCACTAACTTTTTAAACACCCGATAACGGCCAGTCAGATTTGGTAATGATCGTTCAACACCTAGGCTGCTTACGTTAATTCAGTATGGAGACGAGAAGTACATAGTCCTTGATATCAATCAGGAGTTTGTTGTTACTGCGTAATATACATACAAAGCCCACCATTAGTTCGACTACGGGGATTAGTAGTCACAAGTTGCCTGTCGTTGGCATAGCTGACATTCCTCTGAGAATAGACTCTTCGAATTGCATAAGTTCCTCTACACAGTCGGTCTGCAATGCGACTACCGGCTACCAAGCCGCTATACGTTAGAATATCCCTGTTAAATCACTCATTCGACGAGTCCTCTGAAAGAACAGTATCTAGGACATTTGAGAAATAATTTCCAGCGACTGGAAGAAAGAAGGGTCCAGTTTTTGTGAAGCACCGAATCTGAGGAAACAGTTCAGAAAGATATGAATCAATTGATTGAAAACAATGTGCTTACGTTTCTACAGGCTCCAGTATCGATTCCCCAGGGCGCGATGGGGTTCAACATTGATGCTGAACTTGATAGTCTAACTGGACTTCCTAAGCTAAAAACACCCGGTCAAGCATCCTCTCCATTTGGCACGCTGACGTGTTACATTGCACTGCTCGTAGTCGACCCTCTAACCAGTTAGTTGGAACGCATCGGTATTTCGGCACAACCTCGCAAATATACTATTTCATCCGACTACGCTGTTGTGTTCTTTCTCGGTTTCGTATTTGTGGGTATATAACAAGTTTGAATAATTAGTGATTAGCCGCTGCGTCTGTCAAGTTCGCACCAGGACAATTCCTTAAATCCTACACCCCAACCACGCAATATAGCATCACCTGTCGCTATCACACTCCACACAATTATCCGAAGGCAATAAAAACGTGCCACCTACAACGGTGAGATCAGACAACAATCATGTCTAGTAAAAAGCATGTGCATATCAACAAAACTGAAAAGTTAGATACAAATACGCAAAACTAGGGTGGCTTGATATGCATATTAATCAAAACAAAGAAGTAATGAATAACGTTGATAAACACCCAGAAAATTCAGATATGATGGAAAACTCGAATTTCAACTGAGTTACTTCAAATCCATCTTTACTAGAAGTCTCACATTCTTGACAAACGACAGCTGTTTGTGTTGAGTATGTGGAAAATATAGGTTCATTTTTCGAAGGATAAACATTTCATTACTTTGTCTTTCGATGAGCCAAGTCTTTAATCTATCCTGCAGACCAACGAGTTAGGGTCATTTTCGGGTGATACATGGTGAAGTATAGAGTAAATAAAAAAGGGCATCCAAGTTATCAAAGTTCTAGACATTTATGGCGATACACAGTTACAACAAACGCCATCATGACAAAATACACGATTAGGCCAAACCGCCCGGTTATCGGAGTACACAAATACATATTCAACTACGTGCCATGAATTAAAATGTGCCAATAATTCTTATATTCAAGTTTTTCAGGGCACCAATATTTCATTTCTTTGTGGTCGCAAAAATTCTCCGACGCTTGTCTTTTTTGTATCAGTTTTTAGTACTGCGTAAATATGCTTGTTCAAAGAACAAAATGGAACTAGGTATAAAATCTATGT